TTAGGGGTTTAGGGGTCGAGCTTTAGGGGTTTAGGGGTTTAGGGCATAGGGTTTAGGGCTTAGGGTTCAGGGGTCTTGCTTTTGAGGGGTTACTAGGATTTCAGGGTTTAGGGTCTAAGGTTTAGGGGTTTAGGGTTTAGGGGTTTGGGGTTTAGGGGTTTAGGGTTTAGGGGTTTAGGGTTTTTGTGGGTTTGGGGTTTGGGGTTTGGGCTTAGGGTTTAGGGGACTAGGGCTTGCTGCAGAAGGCCTTAAGAGCCGCCCACAGTAGGTGGGCGGCCTCTGCCTTGAGTTTAAGGCTTTCTTGGGTCAGGCTTCGGGTTTGGGGTTTAGGTTGGGGGTCATGTGCCGGGGTCGGGAGCAGACAAGGGCAGCAATGCCTTCTCACACTGCTGATTCCTGCCGGAGATACTTATGGAAAGACAAGACTCTCAGGGATGTACGATTGAAGGGGCATGCTACTTGAAGTAGTAGAACCACCCACAAGAAAAAGCGGATACCATGGAGCCTGACTGGCACTTGAAGTTCTTGAACTTTCGGTTTCGGGGTTGTATTTGGTGACGTCTACCCAGGTGCATATGTGAGGCTGTATGGTATGGTAAAGGTTTTGCTGTTCCTCAACTGACAAAGACAAAAGGAAAGATGGGGGTCAGGGATGGTCAGGGTGTTGCAAACCGCAGGGTGAAACGGCCATAGCCCCTATTCGTCTTCTTTCTCCCTCCTGGGCTGCCACAGGATTATGAACGGATCGGCCTAGGGCTTAGGGGCTGGTGTCGCCTCCAATACGAAGTTGTGATTCGTTCGATCGGGAATGTACGGAACACAAGTCCGGACCGACGGGTTTAGGGGTTAGGGTTACCCTAAACCCTAAACTCTGACCCTAAACAATTCGGCTTCATGTGAGGCTTGGACATGTGGCCTCGATCTGGCCCGAGTCAGTCAGCAATATACCAATCTTCATGTTTGCTGCACTGTAACCGCTGTATAGAACAGATATCCCTAAGACCGTGTTGCTGTCATCAAGCCTCCTACATTGCATGGCTCGAAGCTTCTGGGTTGAATGAGTTCGGAAGAGCGGGGTAGACACTGCAAGTCACAACTGCTAAGGCAAGCGCAGTACCCCGGTGATGGAGTCCAGGCTATCAGCCATAGAGCGCTGCGTCATCCGGCTGAAGTTACCTGGCTTAGGGTGTAGGGTTTCCTGATACCTGGAATAGAGTTTGGTCTTCGGTTTCGGCAGGCTTGGTAGCAACGAGTCACAACATGAAAAGCAAAAGCAGAATCCATGAAGCAGCCATGGGTGACAACCAGTGACAGCGACTGCACGAGCTATAGCAAAAGGAGAAGACTGACAGTTTCAAAAATTGGGCCTACACTGGTAAGTAAAGATGCTATCAACGTCGAAAACCAGACTTCTCTCAGTGATGTACTGGCAATACTGGTACTGCAACAAGTCATGGGTAGTTGTCAAAATTAGGGTCCCTTTATTTGGGTACCCTAAATAATAGGTATTCGGGACCCAAAAAGGGACCATCATTTTGACAACCACCCTCATGATGCTGGTGTTTACCACCCTAAGGAGCAGCCCTCGTTACAGGCACACGGGCAGTAACAGGAGCGACAATGACGGCAATAACTGCAAGTTGTCAACAAGATGTTCATGCCACTTGAGATTGGGGTGACTGGAGCCGTCATTTTATAATCCCAACGGTCGCAAGCAAAACGACACATGCAGGCACTAGTACGCACATGAGACATTCTAGTAATTACATAAGTAATGTAATTGACAGACTCATCGAGGAATTGGGCATAGCGCTGCATCTCACTGCTAGACATGGGCACTCCAACCATGCACCCCGAACAAACTGGGCGCGCCTAGCTGGGAGAACAGCCGGCTGAAGCCTGTCCTGATATCCGTGACGCTTCATGTCCTACCCTAAACCCTAAAGCCTACAAACCCTACACACCCTATAAACCCTGAAAGCCCTATAAACCCCATTAGCCCTTTTAGCCCCATAACCCCTATAAACCTTTAACCCTAAACCCTACAACATATGGGTGGTTGTCAAAATTATGGTCCCTTTTTGGGTACCCAAACATGTTAGGTGCCGCACAATATTAGGGACCCAAAAAGGGACCAGAATATTCACAACCACCCATATGTATGCACTGTAGGCCCTACACCCTAAACCCTTAACCCTGGGGCTTCTAGGTGGGGCTTCTAGGGACTCTATCTCCGGAAAAGCTGGCTCCATGCGCTTGCCCGAGCTGCTTGCGATGGACGGATGCCCTTCGTCAATCCTACCCAGACGCCCCATAGTAGTTCCCTTTTGAGATGACTTTATAGGATTCTATATATGAACCCCCAAAAGGAACTACTATGGGGCCTATGGGTAGTTTACACAGTTTAGATTGTTTTGGTTTTGCTCCTTTTCTGCGATCGCAGTTTATGGTTTAGGATGTTCGCGCGTCTCGGATTTCTGTGCTTGTGGCTTAGTACCCTTAAGCTAAACTCAACATAAGCTCATAAACCCTAAAGCCCTGCACCCAAGTTAACCCGAAGCCCGTCAACCCATCCCCGAGAGACCCCCGGTCCTCTGCGCCCGGGCACAAATAGCGGCACTGCCCAAGGCTGCAGCTGACATCTCTACTGCCTGCGGCTCGAGTTTAGGGTTTAGGAATTTGGGTTTTGGGGCTTTAAGGTTTAGAGTTTAAGGTTTAGGGTTTAGGAGTTTAGGGTTTAGGGCTTAAGCTTTAGGGTTTAAGGTTTAGGGTCTAGGGCTCTGCTGCCTGCGGCTCGAGTACTTGAAGGATCCGAGGACATAGTAAGTACGGGATCCTACAAGGGTTCTGGGGCCTCGAGCAGCGACGCGGTAGTCAGCCGGCGACCTCCTTCGGGAGCCTCAAGGCACGCGTGTACAATGTAAGGGCCTTAACATTAGAATTGGGTTTTGGGGTATTCTGTACTATAGTTATAAGTTAGAATAAGGAACCCCGGAAAATATTACTGGAAACTAGTTAGGCCCCTATGGTATATATATTTAGTAATGTAGGAAGCTGATTAAGAAACCCTGGGTCCTTATTAGAGCTCTTAATATGGATCCGAATATATTGGGGTTATAGGGCCAGGGTTTCTTAATCAGGTTCCCACATTATCGGGTTCCACTTAGGCAACCCTAAACCCTGAAACCCTAAACCGTACACTATAAGCGTTGGATTGTTTAAGGCTAAGACTTGAGGGCACTAACGCTTTCGGTTTTCGGGATTCTTGGCACGCCTTCCACGCAGAAGAAGATTGAAACACTTCGGATCCGAAGGCACTGGCATGCCTGTTTGCTTTATTGGGAAGCTTAGCGGTCAGGGCTGGGCTGTGTTGTGGGGATGTGAAAGAACAACACTTCAGCAAGGTTCAGCACGCAGATTGGAGAAGCTGGCCCTCTTCTTAATCATATGGTTCAGGGCTTTGAGTTTAAGGCTCTTAACACGAACAGTAAACCCTAAGCATGGCCCTAAACACGAAGCCACGCTTGGCGACAGGCGTCTCAGTGCCGCTAAGGAGCCAATATAGCGCTGCAACACCGCAACAACAGCACGCAAGTTGTCACCGTGAAACCCTAAACCCTAAACCCTAAACCCTAAACCCTAAACCCTATAAACCCTAAACCCTAATTTCTCCACGGCAGGCTGGCGTCCAATCACATGCTACCCGAGTGTCAACCCTAAAGCTTTAGGCAAACTCGTGGTGAGCAGTGTTCGGTTTAGGGTTTTTTTTTTTTGAACGCCTTTTTCCGCCCGCTCGGTTTAGGGTTTAGGGTTTTAGTTTAGGGTTTTAGGGTTTAGGGTTTAGGGTTTAGGGAAGGAACCTGGGTGAATATCGACATTCGGAGATCTGCCCTGGGTGACAGCGCGTTAACGGGCTCCGCACTATCAGATTTGCATCACCAAGGAGAGACAACCATGCCAATACCCGCAACCTCAAGTCTTAATCCTCACCAGATATGAATCGAACTAACGTCCAGAGGGTATTGGGCTTGATCTCCCGCGGAGTGGTTGAAGAGCTGGTGCTCGTGCTTGGATAAGACTATTCAAATTTTGTGTCGCGTGTTATGGACCGTGTGCCCCAGCCCAGTCATAATACCTAGACTTCCAGGTACATTTATCCTGCAACAGAAACACCGATTTGTCCATCCGATTCGTCCATCGACCTACGCAAAGCTTCAAAAGGGCTCGACACAAGCTTGACAGTTGAAGGCTCATGTAGCCTCCTTCGGTGTGGCGATGCACATAGCACCTATCCTCGAGACCTCCTAGAACCTTAAACCCCCTAAACCCCATAAGCCCAAAATATCCTATGAACCTTAACAACCCTCTAAACTATATTACAATTGGTCTTATGACTCTTATAAACCCTCTAAGTTAGTTGTTATCCTATAAGCCCTAGGGCCGACATCACCATCAGCGTTCGCAAAGCCCTCAGAGCTTGGCGTCCATGGAGGCCAAGGCGTCGCGCAGGGACACGGGCGAGCGACCCATCCTGAGGAAAGAAGACTCGGTTTCAGTTTTAGGGTTTAGGGGTTCAGGGGTTTCGGGTTGAGGGTTTAGGATTTTGAGCTCGGCTTTTTCGTTTGACGCCCCTTTTCCGCTTGCATGGAATGTAGTTGGAATGCCAGTTTGGCTGAGGCAGTTTGCCAGCGTTGAGGGTCTAGGGCGTTAAGGGGTCCAGTTTAAGTCGAGCTACGATGGTCCCTTCACTCAGCTAAATCAGTGGATTAAGATGATCCCAGGGCTCAGTATGTTGCGAGTCTCAGCTTCGGAACATTCCTTGCACATTCCTCGAATTTGGGACCTGCGTTTGGGTGCTGGGTTGTGGAGGAGCACACTGCAAGCTGGAAACGGATGCAGCATGACACAGCAGACACCAGAGAGAAACCCTCCCATGACCCCTTGTCTGATTCCAGCCGGATCGCTCCGATTTTTGCCTGCACGACGCTTCGCACGTCGGACTAGGAAAGCTTGAAATGAACGATCAGTTCTGGGTAGGCCTGGGCTCCGTTGAAAATGACGAACTCTCGATGTACCTGTCGTCGCCATTGATCGGTAGGAGTCCCTGGCTGAGCGATTACGGAGTGAAAGCGGCCTTTTGACGGATCACCTGGGTCCACCGGAGGTTCCACCCTCATGTTCTTCAAAGGCCCTTCAGCAGTCTTAGGGTGTCCAAGGATCACACGAGCAATGATGAAGCAACCTTCCCCCGATCCGTTTTTCCACGGGGGCATCGCCACCGCCCCTGAATACTGAAGAGCCTTGCAACTTTGGTCTGTAAAGTAAACTCCTTGTCCATAGAGTCCATCTTCATGCGCAAGACGTTCGTCAAACCCGAAGCCTGCAATCTGTTCTGTCTTGTCCGGCGTGGTGCCATGGATGACCAAGACTTCATTGATCTTTGGATCCAAGTGCGCCCAACTGCACACATGAGGAGGTAGGGTACTGGTCACTCTGGGGATGTTGTCACGGCCTTCCATCTCCTTTCGCACTTGTTCCTTCCGGAATTCGTAGTCCTTCCAGATGTTGGTGTTGCAAACCTGCTGGAGGTCGATGATACTGAAATGGTCCATACGCAAACAATCCCCATTGTGATCGCACGGCCGTGCGAAGGCTAGAGCCATCTGGATGCCGGGGAAAGCTGCATCCGAATGATTCAGCCGGATGCGAATCTTTGCCTGCAGCTGGCGACTCACTCGCCAGGCTTCTTGCGCCATCATCTGTTCGGCATGGTCTGTCTGCGAAGCTTCCAAAGCTTTCTTTTCCCGCCTCAGATGCAGCCAAGCCGGAGCAGCTCAAGACTAAGACTTCAGACGAGAAGTCCTGAAATTCCTTCGAAAACACACTATAGTTGCCACCTAGGAGCTCTAGCTTCGCAACTTGCCTGAGCAAGTCTTCTTTCTCCTTCAAAAGCTGCTCTACCTGAGCAGCCTTCTTGCTTGCTTGTGACGTGGCATCAACCCGCCTGATCCCCCGGCTGCGGCCGGTCGACGTGTTCCACTGCATCATGCAATGGCTATCGATGCGGTAAGAAAAGCCTTTTCCCTGGACATAGAAGATATCGTCCAAATCAGGATTGTCATCCCATCCCTGTGCCCAGCGCTTCTCAAGCAGGTCATTCATGGTCTTCCTCATTGGCTGCCAGTCACCAGTATCATCATCATCATCGACATCATCTGTGTCATCAGCTCGAAACTCCCACACAAGCTCAAACTCAGAGTGCTTGCAGTCATCTGTGGCTCGAAGCATCTGGATTTCCAGAGTTTTGCCAAATGGAGGCTGACCCAGCGCAGATGGCTTCACATCATCCTGGCCGATGCAGTTGGAGGGCTTGCTGCCCTTGGTCATGTCAGACTTGCCCTGGCTATTGCCACAACCCGCATCATGTCGCGCAGGTGGTGTAACTTGAGTTTTCGCCACAGTCTCCTCATGCTTTCTCTTGCGGGCCAGGCGGACAATTACGTCAGGGTGAGAGTCCCGCAAGTGTTTCTCAAGGGAAGTCAGACCATGGTTGAAGAATCTTCCACAGGGCAGGCAATAGAAGGGGTTACCCATGTGCGATGGCACAAACTGAATGCCTGCTTGTATTGCCCACTCCTCACAAGACCTGCTCAAGGCATACCTGCTGCCCTTGACATGTTGCGCCCATTCCTTCCAGCAGCTTCGGCAATAAATGTCACAAGCTTCAATTTTGGAAGATGGCACATTCCAGACAGCTTGAGGCATTTTGGCCCATCCTTTCGACCAGCCTTGATATTGGCTGAGAGAGTCCCATATCCACAGCCACTTCCCATTGTCCCATACCGCGACCTCTCCCACGCTGGCATCAGTGCCACATTTGAAGCATTTGGGCATGGCTCTCAGAACGGGGACTACAAGACTTTAGAACAGGAGGATCCCCCATGAAACAAAGCAGTAGCTCTCGAAACACCCGCCGCATACTTCTTGTAAGTGGTTAGTAGCTCCTGAAGATCTCAAAACCCGTAGCTCCTCAAAAGAATCTGCGGAGCCAGAATACCAGGGCGAGTGGGTCCCAGTCTCGTGGTGAAGTGGAACTTCCTAATCAGGGCTGAGGGGTCTATGCGTAATCAAGGCGTTCATAACTGGGATCCTCACAGACTAGTGAAATCTTCGCGCTCAGGGTTCTCCGAGGTTAAACGGCCCCGACTGTCGTCTTGGCACGAAGCAGCGGTATTCCCCCCAGACCTCGACATGGACGCACAACTCGCCTCATGGGTCACACGCATCACTGGTCTAGCAGGGAAACCGCATGCATGCAGCCACTGAGTCTTCAGCAAAAACGAAAGGCGACATCTAAGCCATGTGCAACATCCAAAAGGCTGTCAAATAAAAAACTCAGCCTTACTTTGTCATGCGCCTCGCTGTAACATTTCGGCCATACAGGATAGAACAACATGCTGCTAAATCGAAAACCATATGTGAAGCCACGGCTACTCCTCGAGGTATAACAACAACAATGCAGGTTCACATCAACTGCTGCAAAACTACAAAACCAGATGCCTTCACACCATAAGTCAAGACAACGGTGAGAGAACTGAAGACTAAACAGCTGCGACAAAAACAAGCAAGTGACACTATGCCGAGACGGCGTCGTAGGAAGATCAAAGCTTCCATTCTACGGCAACTATGCTGGCTCTACCAGTTCACCAAAATGTGATGTTTTCTGAGCTGCGGCAAGGACACATAGCTTCGAGCCGCGAGATGTTCATGGAAATGTCAGCAGGCGAAGGTGTGGGCAAGCAATAGGTAGAACCTGTCCAAGTTCATCAGCAACGCTCGCCCTGTCTGGATCCAGTGCTTCTGGGAAAACCGCAAGCATCATCTTCTTCTTCTCATCATGATCATAATCAAGCAAAAGCCGCAGCACCACCAACAACGACGACGACGTCTTGAAGAGCAATGTGCAGTCTGAAAGTGCGCAAGAATCGCATAAGGCCCGACATTGAAGCCCAGACCACACATGGGCGGTTGTCAAAATTAGGGTCCCTTTTTGGGTACCCTAAATAATAGGTGCCGTACTATATTAGGGACCCACAAAGGACCATAATTTTGACAACCACCCAAATGACAAAAGAAGTAAACCATCGGTAGACATGGATTCCCGGCTCAGAGCTTTCGGATGCAGTGTCTCAGAGATGTATACTGCACTCTGGCATTCGTGGTGTACACGTCATTACCTCATGATACAAGCCTTTGAACCAGTTTCCTGTGTTCAAATTGTACTGGCATTCGTCGTTACCGTCGCAATGCCGTATAAGAGGGGGCCAACCCCGCAATGTGGTCATAATGGGAGCGCCTTGAGCGCGAGTCTCGTCGATGTTCAAGTGCCGCGCCACGGCGCGCACGAAGTCAAGGCGGGACAAAGCTTCCGGTCCTGTCTGCAGAAACTATGCCTAGTCATGTAGCAGCGATGGCAATGGCAAGCAGTGGTATGGAGCCGAGCAATAATCAAGCAGCCTATGGAGCGTGAGCCACCTTTCCCAGCAGAGCTTCGGAGCACGCTACTGTCCGTTTGCACAAACGCAGCAAGCAAACATGCAAACATTGCTGCTGCAGACATGCAGTCGACAAATGCAAAGTCTACGCGTGTCACAATGTCAACCGAGCCTGAAACCCAGCCCCTCCCTAAGATGGTCCTCCCAGGTTCACGGTACCAGTGAGGCGACCCTGCAGTTTTGATCGGGCGGGGGCTGCGGACAGGGCTTTTCTCTCAGGGTGAACACACTCTCGGGACTCTCGGGTTCCAAGCTTTGGGCTTGCGACTCTGTGGTCCGAGGAGTTAGGGTGTAGGGCCTTAGGTTTACGGCTATGTTTCTAGCCAGACCGTCCCCAAGACCCAAAACCTTTAGAACCTAATGGCAAAAACGCAGAGCCCTCGAGCCCGACTCCGCATGGCCTGAACGGCCAAGCGAAGGGCCTCTACTACGTCATTGATGAAGATGCAGGACCGGATCCTTGGCTGACACTCTGAAGGGCTTTAGGGTTTGGGGTTTGGGCATTAGGGCACTAGGGTTTCTTGGGGTATATCAGGGTCTAGAGTATTAGGGGTTAAGGGCTTAGGGGTCCAGACTTTCTGAATTCTGTTGGGGTTCAGTGCCGCTGGTAGAAGCGCGAAGCCTCTGACAGCGTTCTCTGGAGAGTGTGGTATTGCTCCAGAGAGCCACGAGACGATCACTCTCACCATGCACGTGTCCGCTGCTTACACTTCGGGTAACCAGGCTGGGATTTACGGCTCGCTGGAGTTCTTATCTTGAGATTGAGGCTCCAAGCTTTAGGCCTTAGGGCTTCGGATTTGAAAATGTGTTTTGATGCTTCTTTTCCGTCCGCAAGGGTTTCGGATTTAGGGCTTAGGGTTAAGACTTTGGGGTTTAGGCTTTAGGGACTCGCTAAGGCGACCGGGCTCAGGGCTCGGGCCGAAGGACTGGTCTGCAAAGGCGTCGAAGGGCTCGCCCGAACGGAGCTTGTCAAGGGCGAACTGCAGGAAAGTGCTGTGCGCCCCAGCAACCACTGGGCCATAGACGAACCTTCGTGAGAAGAGGAGTTCAAAGAGTTTCAACAAATCCGAGTGCTGATGGACAGCAGCGATCAAGAGAAGCCTAAACACCCTGAAGTGATCTGGCATACCCCGAACTTCGAAAGCGCAGGCCCTTGACGTGACGCTTAGGCATTTGAGGTTCAGGCATCCAACTTCCCCGGCTCGAACTCACCCGAACCCTGATCAACAACAGCCGTGCAGCGACAGCCGGAGAATTGCGTGGCTGGGAAACGCTTCCCGGACAACCTCATGACGATGCATAACAACAACCGGCAAACGTCAAAAAATATGTGTATACATACATATATATATATATAACTCAGAGTAGCAGCGAGGATGATGGCAAGAACCACCAAGAAATGCAGACTGCCATAGTACTCCTCCTGCATGGCTCTCAAACTGAGCCCTCATTAAAACAGAGTTCCCCCAAAAGACCCACAGAGATGAGAATGATGGCTGCTAGTTCAGTGCCCACCTCTATATCTCGTGTGCAACCACATGACACTCCTGCTGTTGCGTACTCTCCTGTAAAGCGGCTCAGCAAGATTCTATGGCTCTGCGCCTCTGAAGACCCAGAGCCCGAAGTCCTAAGCCTATAAACTAGTACAGCCAAGTACACTCTTAACCGAAGAAGCCTGGGACCTAAAGCAGGGCCCCGGACATCACCAACTAAGAGCCTAAACACGCCAGGGTTTGCACCCCAATCCCTAAACCCTAAACCTATGCCCCCCTTAGAACAACAGAAACCGCGTTTGCATGTATACGGAACGGGGCGTGGCTTTGGTGGGCTGCAGGCTCTGAAGTGCAGCATTTTCCGTACAAGCCCTTTCAGAAATTTCAGCTCGAAACCCACAAACCCCTATAATTAAACCCGAAACGCAGCTAAAATCATAAAGCCCAAATCCTGAGCCCCTAGGCCGTTAGCGAAGCGCAGGGAACCCTTGATAAATCCACCAGCCAGGGGGCGGATTCCATCTCGAGCTTTGTCTTTCCGTAGACCTCGGAGGCACTTGAAGTGCCTAAGGGTAGGGTTTATGGTTTTCTTTTAAGGTTTAGGGTGGAGGGCGTCTTTTTTCAGAATGGCTTAGGGTTTAGGGCCCTCTTTTGGGTGGGTATAGGGTTTAATAAGGTTTTGTTTTAGGATTTAGGGTAAAGCTCGGGACGACTAGAGTCTAAGAGTCTAGACTCCACAGCACGGGGCTGAAGCTTCTGGCTTTGGTATGATGGAATGTTTCAAGCGGTTCTGCATCGAGCAAGGCTCAAGGTTCATCCCTCTGGGCTTCCGCCGGTTGAGCTCCATGTCTGCCACATCCAACATCGATGGGCATACGCTAAGGGCCTTCATAATTACCATAATACTACTTTGGGGGTTCCTTGCAATATTGTACTTCTAGTATAATGAGCCCCCAAACGCTGTTCGAATTATTAAGGCCCCTATAAGTACTACTTGAGCCTTTCCATGGTGCGATATTACTCATGCGACGGTGAGGCCAAGCTCTTCGTCCCTACCCCTATCGCCTGCATTTCTGCTACAGACACACACACACACACTCTCTCTCTCTCTCTCTCTCTTACTATAGTACCCTTATAGATCCCTCATAGTAACCCTTCAAGGATCCCTTTAAAGGAACCCCCTATTCTAATTACTCTCTCTCTCTCTCTCTCTCTCTGGGTGCAGATAAGCTGCGTTGACAGGGCGCCCTTCTTCCTCCTCTGTTACGAGGTGTCCTGGCAAGTTGCAGAAAATTCGGCAGATAGAGTCCACACAAAAGCGCACTGCCCGGTCAGGATCCAAACCTCGAAGCCGGAACATGTGGCACTACTTAAAGGATCATGGGACTTAGTCAGTAAGGTTATAAGTAAGGTAACTATACTTATAACTACTTATAACCCCAGTTAGGGGACTTATAGCCTTACTTACTAAGTCCCATGATCCTTTAAGTAGGTCACCGAAGCGCCCCATCCTTTGCCATCGTAGACTTGGTCGGTGGAGAGAAAGACGAACCTGCAGAAAGGCACTTACATGGGAGTTTCCGAAAATTAGGGGTACCCTATTTTGGGGCCCTTATGATAAGGATCCTACTATTTACTGTACTAGATTAGGGTCCCCTGCTTTTTGGAAACTCCCACATAGAGTGTCGGACATGTGTCGGGCATGAAGTCGGGATTTGGGCTGTCGCTTTAGTTTCGGGTTCCTGCTTGCCCGCCCTGAGGCATGCACCGCAGTTAAGGGCTTTAGCGGTTGGTGCGGGAGAAGCCATTAAAGCAGCTGGCTCTCTGATCAGGTTCTGGAGGCACCCCCAAAAGTTGTCTTCGAAGGTCTCAATCGGCGGCACAGACTTCTCAGTGGTCTCTAAGTCGGACACCCCACAACCCTCAGCTTAAAACCCCATACCACGCGCCTGAGACCTGACCGGAAGCTAAAAACCTATACCCGCAAAAGACCTGCACCACGATAGTTAAGATTCTCATGCAGCGATACTTGCACAGCTAAATCTCACACCGCAAATTCTTGAACGAACTCGACAAGCCCTACAGGCCATACAGTAAAGGCAAATCCTAAATCTCATGAAACACAAGCACAAAGACCCTTTGAAGATGATAGGAAAACAAAAAACCTGAGCTTGTTATCACCGCACCCCGCACTGAATGCCTTGTCGTGGGATTGGCTTCTTTGGCCTCCAGGATAACGGGAGTTGGGGATTTCGGGCTGTTTGCTAACAGCGCCAGTCTTCGGATCTGCCGCTCAGGATTTGGATTGGGGTCTTCTGGGATTTGACTTAAGGTTAGCCTTCAGGTACCACCAAACCCTATAAACCCCTAATTGAAGTACGGTTGGACTCTTCTTTTCCCGATGTAAGCTATGTCTTGCGGCGTTTGCCTAGTATCGGGCTTAGGCTTCTCGAGGTAGTGCGGTCTGCCGTTCAGGAAGGAAGCTCACTTGGAGGATCAGGGGACTTAGTAATGTACCCTAATTGGGGTTATAAGTAATTACAAGCATAGTTACATTATATATATATAACCCTAGCTACTAAGTCCCGTGATCCTTTAAGCAATCGGGCATGATTCCACATGGTGAGGAGCATGCAGAAACCTTAATTAAACCCCGAACCCAAGACACTGGTACCTAAACGAAACCACTAAACCGTAAATCCTAAAGCCTGGCCCCTACAATTGCTAAACCCTCAACCGCAAGCCCAAACCCTAAAATCCCGAAACGGCCTAGAGGTACGACGGCTGGGTTCTCGGCTTTCGGGTCTAGTGCTCCTTGTCGAAGGTGATCTTCTGCCGAACCAGAAACTTGTTTGTGATTTAGGGTTTAGGGTTTAGGGTGATTCGGTGCTCCCGCCTAGTGCGCGAAGAAACGATTCAGAAGTGCAGCTCGCGTCCGGAACAATCACTTGGAAGAAGAAAAACAAGGCCTTCGCGACAGAGTCGCTTCACTGGCAATGAAGCTGCGACGCGGCGAGGCCAACATCACTGGCATGTCGCCTCCCCCTCCGTCTCCGACGCTCACCTCCATCTTCAACCCCCGAAATAGATCACCAAGATACAACGACCCGAAGCCTAGGTCCTCGAAGGAAGCCCCTAAAGGCCTAAGCAGACCTCAAACTTAAACTCAACAGAAACATGCGAACCGACGATGCCGGCAATTCCAAGCAGAGGTGTTCCCAGTCCCAATCGCCCTTTGGAGTTTGGGCTCTTGGAACATTCTTCAACCAGCCCTGAAGCCCTTGAACCGACTTGCCTTTCCACGCAACACGAAACCTCAACACCCCTCGCTTAGCCCTAACTACACCCCCATACAAGAGACCTAGTACTTGCGAAACATAAGCTCCAAGCCCTGGACAAGAAAAGTCCAACGCCCCATGTTGAAAAAAACCTCTGAAACCCTCTGTGTGTGTGTGTGTGTATGTATGTATGCATGCAACCATGCATGTCCACATGTGTAATTACAGACATACGTGTGTGTGTGTGTGCGCGCACATACTGGTATGCAGAAATGCCTACATACGCATAGGTGTACATGCATACATCAATATGTATACATGAAAAGACTTAAAAACTATAAACAAACAAGAACAGTCCCCTAAACCCCAAACACTAAACCCTAATCCCTAAACCCCTAAGCCTTCTGCACCAAAGCTCTTGCGACGTTGCTTGTCACAGCCGCCGCAGGGTCTTGCTCGCCTCGGGGATTTGGGAGGTGCTCAATGGTGCTTTTACGGTTTAGGGTTTATAAGGGTTTAGGAATTGGGGTTGAGGGATTAGGGACTACTGTTTCGGGTTTAGGGATGTTTAGGGATTGGGGATCAGGGTGTAGCGTTTAAGGTGTAGGGTTGATCCGTTTTCGGGCTTCAGAGGCTAGGGTTTAGGTTCGAGGTGCTTACCATGAAAGCTTTTGTGGGAGGGTTTATATTTTTCTTAGGCTCTTCAAGGCTTTGTTTACTAAGCTTTCTAGGGTTTGTTATTGCGTTTCGCGGTCTTTATTGGGAGGTTCGGGATCACATGGTTTAGAGTTTATGAGTTTGTCTGTTCGTGCTTATGGGGCTTAGGGCTTCGGGCTCGAGAGCTAAAGGGGTTTAGCAGCTTAAGGTCAATAGTCTACTCAAAAGATCATGGGACTTAGTAACTGGGGCTATAAACAAGGTAACACTTACAACTTACAATTTCTTATAACCCCAATTACTTACCTCTGGTTAGTAGGGAATGGAAGAATGGTAGTAATAGTAGTTATAATCGTACCCCATTCCTCCACTCCCTATTAACCAAAGGTACTATTAGGGTACTTCTAACCTTACTTACTAAGTCGCCTGATCCTCCAAGAAAACAGCTTTAGTAAGAAGATGCATTCAGAACGATGTGCTCCAATTCTTGTGCGCTGGGAAAGACGTCTGCAGTTTTTTGCTTGCAACTCCTGGGCAGGGTTGAGGAAAGTGTGCTGAACTTTTGTTTTGGATGGGGGGGGGTGTTCTTCACTACGTCGAAACTAGACGGGAATCGCCAGACGACCCTAAACCATCCTAAACTCTTCAACCCTGAAACACCGACCCTGCGTGCTACCGCAGATACTGCGGCTGAAGGGGCGACTGACCGAGCCTTTCAGGTTAGGGTGCAGGGTGTCGGGCTTCTCGGATTCTATAAGGGGTATGGGCGTTTCCGAAAATAGTGGGTACCTTATTTGGGGTCCTTCTAATAAGGATCCTACTATTTAGTGCATTATATTGGGGTCCCCGATTTTCGGAAACTCGCATATTCTAAGGGCCACTACAGCGACCAAACTGTCCTCGAAACCTTAGATTTGCTCGACTGGACTATAAGGTTGAGAGTTTGGGGCTTAGGGGGTTTCAGTGAGGGCCTGGATTAGAGTTCTGGGGCTCTGGACTAAAAGCTGTGTAACTATACCCTAACGTCGATGCTGTATCTATACCCTAAACTCGAAGCCAACTAATTCTATGCCCTAGGCCCCCAAAAACGTGAGGAAGACGCCTACTGTCCAGCTGCGTCACACGTCGCTGGTGCACTCAAAGCCTCGGATTCACGGCTGTGCTGTGGGCAGGGTCGCTTTACCACCTTTTTTAGGGTTCCTTTAAAGGGGTCTATAAGGGCTAGTATAAGGGGATCTATAAGGGTACTATAATAATGTACCTAGAGTCCCCATTGTAGTTCCTTTTTTTGGTTAACCAGTTTTAGGGTCAGGATCCTATAATAGCGATTTTGGTTAACAAAAAAAGGAGCTACAATGGAGACACTACGTAGAGTTTCCGTATGGGCTTGAGAGGGTCGTAAGCCGGGTTCTTGTTAAAGCATTTAGTCTAAGCCACCACAACAAGTAAACCGTATGATTTACTATAGATCCCTATTATGGTTAAATTAGTATCCTTAACACGAACCCAGTAAAGCTCGCCCTGTTCTGTACTTGCTTCGGGTTCAAAATTACGGTTTGGGCGTCACGGTTCGGAAGGCTTGTTTCTATTTTTTGTTCATGCTGCTATGTCAACCTTTTGTTTTTGCCTCTGCCTTGATGGCGATGCTATTGCTCTCGTGCTGACGTCTAGTGTTGTTCGCATCGGCGCCGTTGTGGTCATTGCCGTTGCAGGGATTGCGAATACGGTGGCCGTAGTGATGGCGTTGACTGCGGCGGTCGGTGGCTGTTGGTGTGGCTGGCTGCAGTGACGACAGTGTCCCCTCATAGATGAAGGAACCGAGAATGAACACACAGAAACACTACATTCACAAAGTGACAACCAGGGCGACAGCAATGAATCCAATGATGACAACAGCAGGAGACAAGCAGCAACGTCGTCATGGTCATGATCATTGTTCGCAAGAGTGACAACAAACGTCATGCTTCAAGCTGGGCAGTAGGCAGTGGTCCACAATCGTACAATGAAATCCTTGCGATGCTTCTCCCAGGAACGGCGGTGTGGACGATGACATCAGGGCGCACCTGGAGCGCTTCATAGATCCGCAACTCGGATCTCTACACCCCCTAACGCCTAGCACAAACGGCCGGCATGAGAGTCAGATGAGCAAAAGAGAAGTGTTGGAGACGGGAAGAGTTGACTCCTCGGCAGTCTTCAAAGCAACACATGCAAGACTCGTGGAAAGCTGTGATGCCAGCTGTCCCATTCTATTCTATGGTTTAGGGTTTAGGGTTACTATTTTATGGCACATCCAACGTCCCGAAAACACGGCGGCATGCCTCGTTGAGGACACGCTCGCAGTCGCTCGCACTGCCTAGTCTTCGAACAGCGTTGTTTTGAAGCGGGATGTGATGTAGGGCTCGGAAATGGTGGGAACAAGGATTGGTTCGACTTCCGTACCGGCTGAACGCATTTAGCCACACTTTTGCCAGCGACAGAGAGCTAATGCAGGTGCTGCAACCGGAAGAAAGGAAACACGGAACAAAGGACGTGAACAGAACAAATTTCAGGAAGAAAACATCACTAGTTGGCAGAAGCTTTCACAAATGGACAAGCCAAATCAAACAAGAACAGCTAAAGGTCATTCAATAAACAACACATGTTGCAGCAACTACGAGCACTTTTCATGATCAAGGAACCGCTGTTTACTTCTAACATGCATTCCAGTTGCTGACATCCATTGCTGTCGAGCTCGAACGGGACACCCCCACCACGTGGTAACCTCTGGCCATGCAAAGGCATTCCTAGGATAAACCAATCTGTAGAACAATTGCATGTACCAATAAGAAGAAAATGATAACAGAAAAAAAGGTTAAGAAGTGTCTGTTTGATTCATAAAGATGGAACGATCTAGATAGGTAAGTTGATAGATGGAAAGATAGATAGACATGATGTGTCTGATGCATGTGTGTGTATAAATAAATATATATATATATATATACACAGACATATATATATATATATATATATATATCACTGTCACGCTCAATCCACCAGCTAATCTCTTCTTCTTCGCGCCTGTGCAATCTGTCCAGGCCGGCGTGTGCTAGACTGTAGCCTGACACCCCCGTCTCCGATGACAAATCTTGCAACGTTTTGATAGACCATAGCCAGGCCTCCATTGCAACCCGACCCTACATAACTAGCCTTGCGCAAATCCGCATTCATCATAAACCCGACGCCATGCCAACGACGACGACAAGAACCACGACTATTCCAACAACTGACACCACCACTAGAAGCCGAAGAAGAAGCGAACGTTTCCGTGCAATCGTTCTTGCTGTTACTGTTGTTGCTATATTGTTATGGTAATTGAAAGGTCTGCAGATGAGCCACCATCTTGCTCCAAGGCCGGCAGCAAGAAGCGGCCCACCTCGCCCAGAAGACGTAGCTTTAGGGACCCAAAACAGCAGCTAAGGTTGGGACATCCCTGTTTAAGTGTATCTTCGCCTCGTTTAAGTTTAAGTTTACAGTTTAGGGTTAGGGTTGCATACTCAGTGTTTGTGTTTAGGTGTGAGCTTCTGCAAGGGCTGCGTAAGGATTAGGGTACAGGCGTACAGGTGTAGCGTTCAGTGTTTCAGGATTTAGGGCCTAGGGCTTAGGTTTCTGCGGAGTTGGAGAGAAAATATTGCCGGGCGCGGCGTTTCGCGCGGTAGACTAATTTAAATTAAAAAGAAGCTACCGGCGCGCGCGGAGCGCGCGCCGAACGGCCCACGGAAGCCAATTTTCCAGCCTTTCGCAGAAATGTGAAGTTTTGACGTGAACAACCAAAGTGCTCCCGCAATGGACTGCAAGCCCAATCGATGGCCTCCCAGCAAATCCTCCTCCACAGTGGTCAGTGCAACACTTTTTCTGCATCGCAAGCATCGCCAAGCCACAGACTTCGAGTGTTCTTCCAACTTCCACTCTGGAAACTGGCAGGCGCCTCTGCACGTGCCCGGCTTTGGAGAACAGCAGTAGCCAGTGTCTACAAGGTACTGTGCCACTTGAAGAGGACTGCTTCCCAGAAGGTCCGCCAACGAGGTCATGTTCTTGATCTTAGTGCGTCCTAGAAGAGGAAGCCGCCCTCGTTTCCTTCCAGGGCGTGTCCGCTCTCGACGCGTGTATGAAACTGTGGGAAGTGCTTCGCGAGGAAGTTCTGGAGCGGGAGAGTCTTCAACAACCACAGCTTCCTGTTGCGAGCTGGAAGCTTCTGGGTTTAGCTGGTCGTCACCGCTGTCTTCTGCAGGAGCTCCAGGTGTGCGACGTTTGCCTGTTCTAGCTCGAACACGGCGGTCTCGACCGTGTGGGCCCATGGTCACTTGACCACCACACCAACGTGCAGCCAGAGCGGATTGTGCTGTGCGCTTCATGTCTGGAGTCTAAAACGAAGTTTGAAGGTTCTCGAAGCCAAAACAAACGGCTGCACAAGAAAACAAGGCATTCTGAACGCTTACGAAGTCGAGTGCAAGCCGCAAGAAGGAAACCACTGACTCTCGAACAACTTCGATCAACACACAATGGCCTTGCAGAGACTGAGCAAAGTGTAGATTGCACATTCGTCTTTTTCACATCAGGAAAAGTGAATACACTCAAAAACACACAAACACAGCTCGAGACCCATCTGCCATATTGTGACTGAATCAACATTGGATTTGATTTACCCGTCGTGCCAGGCCCTGGCAATACTCAAGACTGTGCGAACACCTGAAGGCCTGTGCGTTGAAGCCGTTTTCTTTTCACCTTTTCAACCCTTCTTTCGGAGCTCCCAAACTTGGATGCGGCAGATTGCTGCGGTTAGGTGACCCAGCAACCCTTCCGGAATGAGCCTTGGATCCAGCGCGCAAGCGGTTCACTTCTCTTAACACTGCCTGCAGGCGGAACGAGGGGATTCGTGTCTCATAAGCCATAAGCAATAAGCCAGCAAGTGTCGAGGTCATTCCTGCCTTCAAGGCATCACAATCCTCGTACCAGCAGCGAGCCAGTCCTTCAACGTCAACACGTCTCAGCGGCCCTGCAAGAGGTTTAGGATGACAGCAACCCTTGGAGCCTGCGAAAGAGGCATCGCCTAAATCTAACTTGCAGGGCTGGGCAACAACCCTCGCAAGCAACCTGCCAGAATGTTGGACACTCAAGTTGTGCCGCAAAGGCGAGATTCACAACAACAGGACCTTCCAGAAGGATCTCTCCAACAGCTTGCCGGCAAATCACCTTGCACGCTCGAATTCCCCAGCTTGCCGGAATCAAACACTAAAAATTTGCACCAGCTTGCAAAAAACAGGCATACACACACTGCATCGCAGACAAACAGCCAAACCGACAAACAACTACAAACAAGCAAGACACATGCACACACACGTCCACGCAGCATCACACACCAAAAAGCAACGAACAGACACAGGCACGTACACACACATAAAACACGATACATACATAATGGAAACATACATTCGTACAAACACGGACAAACACGCAAAAGCATATACACACACACACAAAAGACAGTTCCAGAAATGGTTCACTCAAAGACTAGGTTTCAGACAGTAGAACATGCGGGCTACGCTGTTGCACAGAGGCATGGCGTCTGTCTTGTCCAATTGTCGCAGCAGTCACTGCACCTTCTCTCCGTGGAAACTTCTAGCTTCAACTTGTCACCTCGTCATGGAACCGCAGAGTCTGTGCGAAGGCATTCATCAGCATCACATATGACGCCACAGTCGAAGATTGAACCATCAAAGCCAAAGCCATTCTAGTTAGGATGTAATTTCCAGAACTGGAGCTTATTGTTTTTTGCGGAAAAATTTAGAATTTCCGACAATTGCAATCTGCCGCACAAAATGCTGCGCCTATATCTAGACGATGCTTTCGGTGCGGTGGAAGAAGCTTCGTCTGCCGCATGAAACGCTGCGCCCGCCAAAATATTATCAGAGAACTAGTCATCAACGTTCGTCGCAAGACTATCAGCTCTCGCAGCACCCTTCTCTGCACCGGTCATATACAAGAGTTTCTATAAGGGTACTACAAGGATCTATATGGGTAGTTCTTTATGTTAGGGTCCCCTTTGGGGTCCGCTTTATAAGGGCAGGTCCACAGAAAGGGCTTCCAATGTAATGGTGCTGAGGGTTCAGGGGTTTTCGCTTGCATCTCTTTTGCGGTCCTACCTCCCTAAAAATCGCAGGCCCTAAACCCTAAACCCTAAAGCCCTCAACCCTAAACCCAAAGCCGTGTGTAAACCTACCCGAAGATCTGGAAGCCACAAACCCCGAGCAAGGACAGAACACAACAAATTCAACCAAGTCAAACTGACCAGTGGTTTTGGGGTTCCCTTGGCTCTTTAGCTCCCTATTTAATAGCGATTATCATCATCCCTGGCTCCTTAGCTCCTCCAATATCAATGGTTAGCAAACTTCTAGAAGGAGTCTGGGCCTCTCCGTTTTAGGGTTTAGGGTTTGGAGAGTTAGGGTCAGGTGTTTAGGGTCTGGGGTTTACGGTTAAGGGTTCAGGGTTTATGGCTTGCGGGGTTAGGGTCTGGGGTCACATCGTAGCATCCGTATGTGACCACACGGGTAAAAAGTGAGCAAGTATTCCAACCTCTATGCTGAGCGACCTCTCCTGGAAACCGGAACGCCAAGCACCCACTCCTATGCTATGCCGAAAGCCTTCAGGCAAGGCTCACCGCCAGAGCCCCGAAACATCGCAACCCTGAGCAGCCTGCCGTAACACCTTCAACCCTAAACCCTAAACCCCCTTTCAAATCAATCCCTTCTGCGTCCCAGCATCATAGCCGGAACCTCCAGTGACCAGGATTCGCGTGGCCATGGCTCAAATTATGCACGGCCAGGGCATAATGTAGGGTTCGGGTTCAGGGTGTAGGGTTTAGGGCGGAAGCACCGCCCTGCAGATCGGCTTGGCTAGAGCACTCTCTCTGCATGTAATTTGCGAGGTTCCGGGTTTTGGGGCTTGGAATTTGTAAGATCGAGTCGAAAGGCTAACATCGAGAACTCGACACTCACGGCTTCAAACCACTTTTCCGACAACCCTGAACCCTAAACCCTAAACCCTAAACCCCTAAACCCCTAAACCCTAAACTCTAACCCCTAAACCCTAAACCCTAAACCCTAAACCGAAGACTGGACACCCATCGGCGGCCTTCCCCTGGCATGGTACGCTTGAAGTTTTCGGCTCTTGCCAGGAGAAGCAGCTGATATGAACCGACATGGCCACAAGGCATAGCACCAAGCGGCTGCTACGAATGGTATCATATCTACGGGCCGCAATAATTGAAATTACGGTTTGGGGGCATATTATTATACTATAACCATAGAAAGGAGCCCTAAGAATGCTACGTATTGGTAATTATTAAGCCCCGTATAGTAATTCCGCAGATCTTGCGCAGGGAAGTCCTCATGCACCATGATTACAAGCAAGGCACAAGACCAACGCTAGCAATCCTGCCTGCTGCGGCTGCTGCCAACAACAAAGTCCTGCCTCCAAGCCTCTAAACCCTAAACCCCCAAAACCCTAAACCCTAAACCCCAAACCCCTAAACCCCTAAAACCCTAAACCCCTAAAACCCTAAACCCCTAAACCCCAAACCCCTAAACCCCTAAACCCCTGAACCCCTAAACCCCCAAGCCCTAACCCCTAAACCCCTAAACCCCTAAGCCCCAACCGTTAAACCCCTAAACACTAAACCCTAAGCCCTAAGCCCTAAACCCCTAAAGCCTAAACCCCAGACCCCTAAACCCCTAAGCCCTAAACCCCTAAACTTTAACCCCTGAAACCCTAAGCCCAAGGCCATGGGAGCTTCCGACATCTCCTGCTGAAGGAGCATGGTCACGTTCCTTTGGAACTCCTGTCGGGGCATCGGCTTAGGGTTTGTAGGGCTTAGGGTTTGTAGGGTTTGGGGTTTAGGGGTTTGGGGGTTTGAGGTTTAGGGGTTTAGGGTTTAGTGGTTTAGGGTGTTTTTTGAGGACCTTTTCCAGCTGCAGTACAGTTGGAGAGCTCGGTTTAGGGGTTAGGGGTTTAGGGCTTAGGGGGTTTAGGGTTTAGGGCTTTAGGGTTTGGGGGTTTAGAGGTTTGGGGGTTAGAGAGAGAGAGGTTTCCCATCTTTGCATGTTGGTGGAAAAGAGTCCCAAAGTCCCATATATCTTGAACAACGTGGAGGAATCGGCTTGGCACTCGTCATGGTTATGCTTATGGTGGTAGTGATGGTGATGACGATGGACGATGATGACGCTGGTGATGATGGCGGTGATGACGGTGAGGATGATGACGATCACGGGCATGATGATGATGATGATGGTGATGCTTCCACCAGCATTGCTGATCGCTCCTCTGGAAAGGCCGTGGATGCTTCCAAGAAGAGGTCCACCCGCCCTGCTGGCCAGGCTTGAAATTATGGGCTTTCGGGGATACTGTCACCGCTGTGTAATGCAATCCCTTGCAAGCTTCTGTACACTGGGATCATCTCGGGCTCCCTGGTCGATGTCCTCCATCCGGTTGAAAACTGTGTAACTTAGCCTCTTCCACCAAGTGATCAAGCCCAAACAGGCCTTCCGCAACGGGAGGTACCTGGCACCGGCGGCTTCTATATCTAAGGGTATCAATAGTGGGCCACTCACTCCAGTGTCCCACGCACCCGGCACAGGCAAGTCGACATCACAAGGGTTCTACAGTCTTAGTCTTGCAGGGTTTGTGTTGGGGACCCTTAGTACAGACATCCTCGGGGATGTGTTCACCGCCGTGAATTCCGACTCCTACTTGAAGTGCCCATCAACCTTCAGCTCCAGAAGCAACCCGAAACCCTCATCCCTGAATCCCTAAAGGCCTACAAGGTTTAGGTTTAGGGCATTGGAGTTTTGGGTTTGGGGGTTAAGGGTTTTCTCACCCAAGCACATGTCGAATTCAGCCCGGGTGGCCTCGGCTATCACAGTAGGCAGGGCCTGCGAGCTGGCCCACAGGGCTCAACTGCCCCCAAGCTTGTTGCTGTAATGCTCGTAGCTACTGTTGTGATGGCTCCAGTTCATGCAACTGTTCTTTTTCATAGTCCGCTGCTACCAGTATTACTGTTTCGATTACTAGCCCCAGTAGTAGTAGTAGTAGTAGTAGTAGTAGTAGTAGTAGTAGTAGTAGTAGTAGTAGTAGTAGTAGTAGTAGTAGTAGTAGTAGTAGTAGTAGTTAGTAGTAGTAGTAGTAGTAGTAGTAGTAGTAGTAGTAGTAGTAGTAGTAGTTGTTGTTGTTGTAGTAGTAGTAGTCGTAGTAGTAGTAGTAGTAGAAGTAGTAGTAGTACGCGCTTTGCGTGTATTTGACGCTGTGTTTTTTGGTGCATGCATGTCCGAAACACACGGCAGGGACGTCATTTCCGCATGCGCATGTCGTTGTGAGCCGAGCGCCCTGGATCGTGGGTTTTATCGGCTCAAGTGAAAGTCATGCCATGATGATGTCAAACATGCTCGCGATTAGCCCCCCCCCCACCCCCCCCCCCCCAGGTCAATGATGATGTTGATGAGTAAGATGATGTTGATGAGTATGATGATGATGATGATGACTGTATTTTAGGTCGTTCTGGCGCTCGGGTCTGCATGGTCCTTCTTTAAAAGATAAAAACGAATAACCACGGAAATGCTGTAAATACCAGTATATCTAGGCCCTGAGTATGATGATGTTGATGAGTATGATGATATTGTCTATCACCGTGATGATGATGTTGATGGCGACAATGAATTTGACGGTTTTGAATGTTACTGTTATGATGATGATGTCAAACATGCTCGCGATTAGCCCCCCCCCACCCCCCCCCCCAGGTCAATGATGATGTTGATGAGTAAGATGATGTTGATGAGTATGATGATGATGATGACTGTATTTTAGGTCGTTCTGGCGCTCGGGTCTGCATGGTCCTTCTTTAAAGAGATAAAAACGAATAACCACGGAAATGCTGTAAATACCAGTATATCTAGGCCCTGAGTATGATGATGTTGATGAGTATGATGATGATGATGACTGTATTTTAGGTCGTTCTGGCGCTCGGGTCTGCATGGTCCTTCTTTAAAGAGATAAAATCGAATAACCACGGAAATGCTGTAAATACCAGTATATCTAGGCCCTGAAACCAAGTCGCAGATGTCCCAAAAGCAGGAAAAGCATGGCGTCAAATACACGCAAAACGGGTAGTAGTAGTAGTAGTAGTAGTAGTAGTAGTAGTAGTAGTAGTAGTAGTAGTAGTAGTAGTAGTAGTAGTAGTAGTAGTAGTGGTCCCCCGTTCTGGAGTAGTAGTAGTAGTAGTAGTAGTAGTAGTAGTAGTAGTAGTAGTAGTAGTAGTAGTAGTAGTAGTAAGTAGTAAGTAGTAAGTAGTAAGTAGTAAGTAGTAAGTAGTAAGTAGTAAGTAGTAAGTAGTAAGTAGTAACTAGTAAGTGTAGTTAGTAGTTAGTAGTTAGTAGTTAGTAGTTAGTAGTTAGTAGTTAGTAGTTAGTAGTTAGTAGTTAGTAGTTAGTAGTTAGTAGTTAGTAGTTAGTAGTTAGTAGTTAGTAGTTAGTAGTTAGTAGTTAGTGGTTAGTAGTTAGTAGGTAGTAGTTAGTAGTTAGTAGTTAGTAGTTAGTAGTTAGTAGTTAGTAGTTACTAGCTACTAGTTACTAGTTAGTAGTTAGTAGTTAGCAGTTAGTAGTTGGTAGTTAGCAGTTAGCAGTTAGTAGTTAGTACTTAGTAGTAGTAGTTAGTACTTAGTAGTCGTAGTAGTAGTAGTAGTAGTAGCAGCAGCAGCAGCAGGAGTAGTAGTAGTAGTAATAGTAGTAGTAGTAGTAGTAGTAGTAGTAGTAGTAGTAGTAGTAGTAGTAGCAGTAGTAGTAGTGGTAGTAGTAGTAGTAGTAGTAGTAGTAGTAGCATTAGTAGCATTAGTAGCATTAGTAGCATGAGTAGCATTAGTAGCAGTAGCAGTAGCAGTAGGAGTAGCAGCAGCAACCGCAGTGGAGCAGCAGAAGCAGAAGCAGCTGCAGCAGCGTAGTCGGAGAGCAGAAGAAGTAGTCAAAAAGCATGGTGGAAGTGGCAGTAGCAGTTGTGGTAGTGACGGCTGATGGAGCAAATCGTGCACCACCTACCTGATCCATCACCCATTGCTCCCTGGCTTCACTGCTGGGAGGCCAAAAGGGGGGTTTAAGATTCTCGGGTAAGGATTCCTTAATATGAGCCCTATTATGGGAACCCTAATCCCTACTAAACCCCCATAGGCTAAAACCCGTTTTGACCTCCTATGATTCACTGCTGGGGCGGTACGAGATTTTTGTTATCGCCTGCTTCTTCCTGGCAAGACTTTCAAAGGCAGTACAGGGTGAGACAGTTTTGCGTGTGCGTGTTTCTCCAGGCCCCTTAGGGGTGTAGGGTTTAGGGGTTTAGGATTTAGGGCTTCGAACGGTTGGCAAGTTTTCAGGTCAATGTGGTTTTCATGCTTGGACTCTCACGAATGCTGCGCCACGACCGCTCCACTATCTGGATGGGAACCCCTTTGAAGACTCCCCAGGCCAGAACCTTACACTCTATCAAAGCCCGCCAGAAGGCCTGGGCAGCAAGCTTCTGTCTCATAAGTCCCGCGGCAATGAGCAGATAAGACCTCGGCCATGCGACTTGGAAGCTTGGCATTAGAGGCATTAAGGCTTTAGGCGTGTAGGCTGCGGGCTTAAGCACCAGGGTTCGAACTAAGCTTGAATATGTTGACATACGAGGTAAGTTTGATATGTAGTGATGGTGCTCACCCCGAGCCCTATTCTAATTCATTCTTCAAGCCTTCCTACAAAAAATCATCTAAGAATTCAGAAAGCCTTCTTAAAGGATCAAGGGACTTAGTAACTAGGGTTATAAATAAGGTAACTATACTTATAGCCCCAATTCAAGGACTTGTAACCTTACTTACTAAGTCCCCTGATCCTCCAAGTTCTTCCAGTTCGAGAGTTGGCTGGCTTTTCTCGGAAGCAACCAAAAGCCTAAACGCTAAACCTTCAACCCTACAGCCGCACTGAGCCACTGGCGGCCGTAAACGCGGCACCTGCTGCGAGATTTGCGACCACAACACAGAGAAGCTAATCTGGTGGGCTGTGTGTTAAAGGCTTGTGATGAGGATTACTGTACGAGTTACTATGAGGGTTACTCTGAGGATTACAATAAGGGCTTATTGGTTTCCCTGTTGTGCAAGGTTGTTTAGGCTGTCCTGGGTATTTAGAAGTGCTTACAGGGTCGTGCAGGGTTGTATATAGGGGTCTGAAGCACTAGAATAAGGTTTTCACCACGGGTTCTTTCGCGTGAGAGGCTCTAGAATAAGGCGTGTGATAACGGCTACTGTGAGGGTTTAGTGTAGGGGCCTTACTTATGAAAATAGGATTTCGGGAATCAATTACACATTATGCAACAAATGTTATAACCTATGGGCTACAGGGGGATCCTTCTGCTGCTACTTTAGGTTTGCTTGAATTGACCCCAAACCCTAAAGTCCTGAGAGGACAAGGAGCGCAGGGCTTGCCCAAAAGCGGTGAGGTAAGAGAACGGAAATCCCTCATCAGCTGGTCGCCTTTTTATTTGCAACAACAGAGCTTCTTCGGGGATGTCAAAACCTGATTGAGAAACCCTGGCCCTATAACCCCCCAACATAGTAGGATTCATAGAAGGAACCCTAAATAATGCCCAAGGTTTCTTAATCAGGCTCCTACATTAGAGGGTGAATCGCTTCGAAGCTAAAGCTCGTGAGCGCATACTCCCTGAAGCCCAGGATCTCTTCGAAGCCTGAAGTTTAAGAAGACCTTCCACCTGCGGGTTTGGGGTTTATTTAGGGTTCCAAAGACCCCAACCTACTGAAGACGGCATTGGCGTGGATTGCAAGCATGGCCTCCTCAGAACTGCCATGAAATCTGAAAGCATGGATGAAGCCGGGTCCCCGAGGAAAAGCAAGGAGGCATCAAAGCCCACTGTATGAGTTCATTAATTATTGCGACTCCTACTCCTATTCCTGCTCTACTGCCTCTGTTACTGCGATCAGTCTTTCTTCTTTCTTATGGGCCCTCAAACCGAAGTCACGCCACAACAGAGAGCGCACAGAACCCAGCAATAGGCGGAGCGCACCTCGGGAGCTGCCTGATGTCAGAGAAGATGTTTGGATCCATGGAGGGCGTAAGTTCGAGGCTGCATTCATCCTCATCATCATCGTCAACAACAGCAGCATCATCATCGTTAACGTCACCATTAACACCAGGTTCGTCATGGTCACCATCGTCATCATCATCTTCCTTGTCCGCAGAATCCTCATCATCGCCTATATTCGCGCTGTCGAGTTCCACCTCATCACCCTTACCATTGCCGCTACTACCTTTGTAGCAACCCTTAAGACAAACCTTATAGCCGCCTTATAGTATCCTGACAAGGAACCAGTTGAAGGGCGGATCGACACACAAATGACAAAGCCCTTTCTTGCCCAATTCCCCTGCTTGACGGAGTTGAAGGCCAGCAAATCCAGTGAACTCTACACCGTAAATTCTTACTTAGCTAAACCCTAAACCAGAACCAGGCCCTAAACCCTAACTGAACCCTAAAACCCTTGAAACCCAAACCGCAACCCCCCTGACCCCAAAACCTTAAACCCCCTTAAGCCCCAAGTTCCTAAAACCCCAAGACCTAAGCCCAAAACTCCCGAGAAATCGGTCTGCTCCTTGAACTGAAACCGGAGGGCCGCCTTGCACCCCTGAACCCTAAACCCTAAACCGTAACCCTACCATCCTCGCACACAGATACGGGCTGATTTGGGAGTTTCCGAACATAGGGAACCCTAATACAGTACCCTAAATAGTCGGGTACTTATTGTAAGGACCCCCAAAATAAGGTACCCCAAATCTTCGGAAACTCCCATTAAGGCCTTAATACTTCCAGAAAGGCTTAGGGCTTACTTGGCGGGGCAGGAGACTTAGTAAGCCGTTTACAAGTAGGGTTATAATTAGGGTAACTCCATTTAGGATACTTATAACTCTACTTATAACCTACTTACTAAGTCCCCTGACCCTCCAAGTAGGGTTTAGGAGGCTTTGACTCTAGTTGTCTAGCAACAGGGGCTCTGACGGTGCTCGTCTTGCGCTTTGGAGTTATTAGTTCTATTTCTGCATACAGTAAGGTTCGGCTTTTCTAACCCTAATTATTTATATACCAAGTCCTATGATCCTTTAACTTCCAGCATCGATGCGCTGTCCCCTAAAAAACCCCAAGCCATAAACCCTTAGATCCACAACCCATAGCCGGGTGGCTGGAATCGCCGGCATTCACACCGCGCGGAGCCGCAGGGATGCGGCAGAGGCAGTCCGTGCTTTGTTGTGTAGGGTATGGGGTCCCCGAACTCCCCAAAAACAAGGCTTTCAGAGCTCTGGGACACCTTTGGGGGGTTGAAGCTATGGGTGAAGATCTAGGAAAGCAGACTTCGGAGACTCAGTTGGGTGCTTCGAGCGCTTGTTTCGCTTGATTGAAAGCGATCCCCTTGTATAATGTGCCTCGTAGCTTCACGACCCCGACGGACTTGATCGAACTTGAGCCTAGCCAAAAGCATTCCGCACATGGCTTTGCCTTTTAGGGTTTAGGCTTCAGGGTTCAGGCTTTAGGATAGGGTTTAGGAATCAGGGTTTAGGGATTCTTAGGGAGGTGGGTCCAGGATGTGGCCGGCCAAAGAAGATCTGGGAGGCTGGACTGAAGCCCCGTGGCCAGGCTTAGGGGGTTAGGGTTCAGGGGGTTTCTCTACCTTCTCTCTTACTAGGCCCTATAGACCCCTAAACCCCTAAACAACCCCTGGACCCTTAAACACCAAAGCCGCCAAAACACTTGAAATCCTAAATCCGAAACGCCGAGAACTACTGGGACTCTCAATTCTTTCCCGGCCAGCACTCTTTGTAACAGCTGCATCACGCTGTCTGTATGCTTGGCTTCAACTGCATATCTGCATGAGTCGGGTTAGGGGTTTAGGGTTTGGAGTTTGGAGGTCCTATCAGACATGTAACGGACGACGTGAACCTGCTCTGGCTGACCCTAAACACTATGCCTAAACATTTTCAAAGATGCCGTATGGAGAGCACTGTTGATCTCCTTTTCTTCACAGAAACTTGCTCGAGCAATGGGTCTCTAAGACATATTTGGCCCCGCACGCACTTCCATCCAAGCTTGACATCAGAGCTCCCAGCATATGGGCCAAGTACTAAAGGTTCCAGAACGACGGCTTTGGGCTTAGGTGTTTGGGTTTAGGGTTGAGTTCGGGCGATTTAAGCGGGGGTTTAGGGTTTGGGGGGCATGACAGCACTACAAAACTCTTGAAAGAAAGGTCAATCGACCTCAGGCGCTTCCATGCTTCTGGCTCTGATCCAGCTCCTACACCTCTCCTTCGGAGATGGCGGATGGAGCGCAGTCCCTTTAGGCTTGCGGAGGGCTCCAAAAATGCTGTGGAAGCTGAGTGTACACTTCTAGGTGCCCGCCTCTCCGCAAAGATGTATGTGTAGGTTGGGCAATCAGCGGATGCGTGGTTTCGCCACAAGTAAGTTCCGAACGAAGCCTGGATTTCACGCAGGAGTCTGCGAGGGAACCAGCAGCCCAACCCCGAACCCTCAAACCCCTGACGTCGCACCGGTGTGGTCGGACTTATAAACAAAAGGGCTTCCCCCACCCCTGAATCGCACCTCATGCAAACTCAGCTGCCGAACGTCGATGTTGCACTGGGTTGCCCAGAACCACTACTCTCGGCACATGCGTGTAGGGAACATCACCCTTTTGGTGGGGCCCTCTCCCCCCCTCAACTCGGACAGTCTCTTACTTGTCGATCCTCTTGTCGGCTGCACTACTGTTGATGGACAAAAACCTGCATAACCCATTATAAGGAAGATACCATAATTCCCACAGTTTAGAGTCCTTAGGGTCATGCAGGATTGTGTCCATCAGCAGTATGACGATGCTGATCAGAGTTCTCTTTTTCTGGAGGGAGCTGGGCAGGGAGCTCAGATCAACCTCCATCTTCACATGCGTGTTCTGAGCTCCTGCATGGAAGCCGCGGGCATCTCGGAGTCTCCGAAAATAGGGGACCCTAATATAGTACCCTGGAGAGTAGGATCCTATTATAAGGACCCCAAAATAAGGTACCCCTAATTGTCGGAAACTCCCCTTTTTTGCTCAGAGTTAAGCTAAGCATCAAGGCGCTAATTCCGTGCTTTGGCTTGATAGGCTTAGCCCTGAGTTCACCCTAAACCCTAAACCCTAACCCTTGGCTGAAGCTCGAAGACCTCACTTAAAGGATTACGGGGCGGCAGCAGATAGGGGTTATTCTACGCAATATCCTATGAGACTTATAAGCCCTAACGTACTAGAACCCTGATCCTCCAAGCAGAAAGCTACACGGTCTTCCTGTTCCCACACTCATAGGATCCCTCAATACCTCCCTGCCGTTGAACAACCGTAACCGTTGACCGCTAACCTGAATCCTAAACCCTTACGCAGCGAAATCCATACTACAAGTAGTCGCTTGAGGCTTGAGGCCCCTAATTATAGTTCTCTAAGTTGTGGCATTCAGCTGCAGACGTCTAGATAAGGAGACACTCGCTAGATGGAGCTCCAGCACATGGCTTGGATTGTGAAGAGCCTTCTATTTTCAATGACACCGGTTGATGATATAAATCCTGCATTACCCATAATAAGGAAGATACCATAATTCCCATAGTTTAGGGTCCTTAAGGTAATGCAGGATTTATATCATCAACAGCACTTGTCGACTACAAACTTCAGAAACTTCGATGTTTCGTCAGGGTGCGCCAATTCTGTTTAGCGCAGTAAGCCTACAAAATGACAGCTCAATCTTGGCTCGAAAACCCAAACCCGGAACGTTATAACTTGGGATGCCCCTTGTAGCATCCCTTCTAGAAACTATATAAGGCCTGAACTACCAACAAGACTGAGAAATCCTACGGAAATGCCTCATGCCATCAAGCACACACCCTCCACTAAATCAAGCATCCTGAACGTGACGACCAGAACGTCACAAACCGAATCCGCCAAACCGCAAAAAAAAGCCGAAACCACAGGGTCTAGGGTGTATGACTTCGCTCTCCCCTCCCCCCCCCTTCACAAAAAACAGGAAACAAGCTGTCCTCCATCGACGCCTGATCACTGGTCTGTCGCTCCCCAAAAATGTCTTGCCTGCTTCCGACTTTCAGGTTAGCGGAGGGATTCCTGCTAGCAGTCCGAGCTATGCTTCCTCATGATAACGGTTTAGGGTTTAGGGTTGAAGGGTTTAGGGTTTAGGGTTGAAGGGTTTAGGGTTTAGGATTGAAGGGTCTACAGGCAGGAAGCACTGCGGAAGGCCAAGCCACACATCCTCTGTAAACAAACTGTGTGCTTCTGAGGACCACGCACCCAAAGCCAAAATTGAAACTAACCCTAAACCCTAGGCCCTAAACCTTAAACCCCCGGGCCCTAAACCCTAAACCCCTAAACCCTAAACCCCTAAAGCCCTAAACCGTTACTCTAGGGGCTTTTGTGCTTTGGAATCGGGCATTTTACACAAGCCCTCAGTCGGGCCTCCGGCTGATAGTAGTACCCCTAAAGGAACCAAAAAGGAACCCTTAAAGGAACCCCAAAATAGCCCTTAAAGGAACCCTTCAAGAGCCTGTGAAAAAGCCCCTAAAGGAACTCAAAAGGAACCCTGAAAGGAACCCCAAAAGAGCCCTTAAAGGAGCCCCTAAAGGAACCTAAAAGGAGCCTTTGAAGGTAGTCCAAATAAATACCTATACTAATTCGGGGACGCCTTAGTATGATTCTAGTATAATGGGCACGAAATCCCTATTCTAACTACTCAGCCACAATATTCATCATTGAGTCATGAAGGCCCTGCTGTGGGAGCTTCAGAGTTTCAGACTCGAGCAAGCCCGGGATGCTTGAAAGCTGATATAGGGGCCTTCATTATTAGAATAGGGGTTCCTTTAAAGGGACCCTTCAAAGGGTTACTGTAAGGGATCTAAAAGGGTACTATAATATAGAGGCCTTAAACTTATCAATTGGCACAAGGTTTTGGGGCCCATTATACTGTAATTGCAATTACCAAGGACCACCAAAAATAGTTTTGGTAATTATGTAGGGTCCTACACACTTTTCTCTGCGAGTCGGAGAGAGGTTCCTATCTGCGGCGGACACATGCAAACCTACCGCGAAATTGTGAACCGGTGACACGGTACATTGAACACTGCCTATATCTAAGATGCAGTACAGCAGCATCAGACAAAGACGATAGCTCACACGGCATGATCTGAGGCACTTCGCTGCCAATCCAACTCGAACTAGTGCGGTAGTGTGAAATATCCCTAACATTATCAAGCTAAGTTTGAGTTTCAGTTTCTTCTTGCTACGGTTTCTGCTGTCACTATCGCCACTAAGGCCACGAGATTCATTCACGTCGGAGTGCCTGCCCTTGGCGGCTTCCTCTTGCTCCCGCACCTCAGAGCCATTTGGC